TGTTCTCTCAATTATCAAAAACTTAGTCTTTGAAAGTCTGCTATGTGATGCAGGTGTGAGGTTGGATTTCCAAGGAGGTAAGGCTGTATTATCCTTTAAGAAAATGTATTTTGACAATACATATCGTACTGATGACATGTATAAGATCAGTACTATTGCAACCAACTTGGTTATAAATGAAGTATCCTCTTCTGCTTACTCTACTGTATTATGACATAATAGGCTAGGACGTGTAAATTATACAAAATTGTCTAACATAGAGAAGTTAGGATTACTTTCAAAATGTGGGGGTAACAAACCTAAGAAATGTGAAGTTTGTTGGTGCATGTAGTTAAATTCTGGAATAATACAGATATAAAGCAGTAAAAACTGAAAAGAAAGTTGAAGTACAATAATTTAAAATTTTTAACTCAGTTATTGTACGTTTGTAAAACGCAATGCTTAAAATAATATTTAGCCTACTCCGATGTAAGAATCCCGATGCCAAATTGTTTTCAAGAACAGCAGTACAATACTTTGGTGTGCACCGATCCAGTACTGTTAAGATCTCCTCGATCTATAGGATCCTCGGTCAAGGCAATGATCTCCTCGATCTATAAGACCTTCTCGGTCAAGGTAACAATTTCCTTAATCTATAAGATCTTCTCGGTTCAAGTAATGTTCCTACGAGCACTAGCTATTTTACAACATATATATATATATATATATATATATATATATATATATATATATATTGTTGTTTTTGGAATGAATTTTTCTTAAGAGTTTGGGGTCTATTTATAGTGTTTAGAAAAATACTAAAATAATATTATTTTACTATGCATGTAGGGCCCGTAACTATTAAAAACACGTTTTTCTTTTAATTTTCAAACTTGTGGGACCCATCAATTTTTTTTTTCTTCAAGAATGACAAATAAGGGAGGAGGGGAGGCACATGCTTTCAGTGCACAGAGTTTCAATCACGTTTTATTTGAGGTGGGCCTACCCCTTTCTTTCTTTTTCAAAAACTTCGGTTGATTGATTTTAAAAAGCTACCAAAACTTTTGACTTTAGTTTTAAACAAATATATCCAATAATCCCCCACAAGTTTTTTAAAACTAGTGTCGTGTAACAGTGTCGTCGTTTCAATCGTTGTGCATAAGGTAGATGTCGTAAGGACTTGAATCCTCTTTAGACCAGCTGAATAAAAGATAGATACATGGTGTTGCAGAAACTTGAACCAGCATGTCTTACAAATACTTATCATTTTATATCAAGTTTTTAGTTCAAAGTTTATGCTACTAATGATAAGATATTTGGTTCAAAAGTCAAGTAAGATTTACAAAGTTTGGTGAGTCTTACAAATAATTACCATTTACATCTAGTCATTAGTTCAAAGCTTATGCTACTAATGATAAGATAAATTGTTTAAAAGTCAAGTAAGATTTACAAGTGAAATCCTAAGGGGGGTTCAAGTTTTTTTTGGATTAGTCGGTGTCTAAGGTAAGGTTTAGGGGTTGCGTAACGCGCTCCGCAAGGAGCGAGATACTTAATTGATCTTTGATCTCCCTCTAGTACTATCCTTACCTGGCTGAACTACTCGGGTAAAACTTTGATCTTTTTACCTAGCATCCTATCATGAGAGGATGACTCTTAAGCCTTAATGAGTTCAAAGCATTTCGGATGCAGGATGTTTGATAGGAAACATGCTTAAATAACTCGCCTATGCATGGGTGGAGATTTGGTCGTCTCCTATTATATATTGTGCAAAGATACCTAGAGCCCTAGCAGAAACCAGGACATGAACAAGGTCATAAATGTGCAAAGGCAAAGGCAAGACAAAGGCAAAGGCAAAGGCAATTGTGGTTCAAAGTGAAAACTACCACAGATAAGTTTGATCCTGTATGATCGCTGGATTTTTAGACATATGCTGGTTCAAGTCTCTGCGACACCATGCATCTATCTTTTATTTAGCTGGTGTAAAGGGGATTCAAGTCTTTGCGACATCTACCTTATGCACAACGATTGAAACTACGACACCGTTACACGACACTAGTTTTAAAAAATTTGTGAGGGATTGTTGGATATATTTGTTTAAAACTAAAGTCAAAAGTTTCGGTGGCTTTTTGAAATCAATCAACCGAAGTTTTTAAAAAAGAAAGAAAGGGGTGGGCCCACCTCAAATAAAACATGATTGAAACTCTCTGCATCGAAAGCATGCGCCTCCCTTCCTCCCTTATTTGACATTTTTGAAGAAAAACAAAATTGATGAGTCCTACAAGTTTGAAAATTAAAAGGAAAACGTGTTTTTAATAGTTGCGGGCCCTACATGTATAGTAAAATAATATTATTTTATTAGTGCATAGTATTTTTCCATATACTATAAATAGACCCCAAACTTTTAAGGAAAATTCATTCCAAAAACAACAATCAATATATATATATATATATATATATGTAAAATAGCCAGTGCTCGTAGGAACATTGCCCGGATCGAGAAGGTCTTATAGATCGAGGAGATCGTTGCCTTGACCGAGAATGTCTTATAGATCGAGCAGATCATTGCCTTGACCGAGAGGTCCTATAGATCAAGATATTAATTGTACTAGGTCGATGCACACCAGAGTACTGTATTGCTGTTCCTGGAAGCAATTTGGTATTGGGATCCTTGCACCGGAGTAGGCCAAATATTACTTTAAACACAACATTTTACAAACGCACAGTAGCTGAGTTGAAAATTTTAAATTACCGCACTTCAGCTTTCTTTTCAGTTTTTGTTGCTTTATATCTGTATTATTCCAGAATTTAACCACTGGCGCCAACGTATGTTACTTCCGTAATTAAATCGTTAAAGCGTTCTGAGTGGTTGTATTTTAATTTTTATCTGACAATGTCTTTTTGCTTTAGCCTTGAGAATTGTTCACATGAAACCCAACAATTTTCTATATTTAATTGTACTCTTTGGCTTCTCCTAGTAGGTATGTGATCCTTCTGTGAGGGTGTACAAGGGTCACACTTTGCACAAAGAAACAGAAGAATACCTTTCCTCTCGTGGGCTAAAAGATGCTCTTTATTCCATGCATGCGTCTGATCTGAAAGAAGATCTATTTGGGACTCTTGTGCCTTGTCCTTTTCAGGTGAGGAACTTATTTCTTGATATTAACATCTCTTTACCTGCCATTGGCTTTTAGACAATCTTGTTTACATTCAAACTAGTTTCCCGATAGATCTTTCTGAGCAATAATTTCTTTTGATTGTGATATCTTGGTTCCCCATATGCGCATCTTGGCCCCAATTATTTACCTGAATTACATGGCTGTATACTTGCTTATTTTAATGTTGCCTAAGAATAAAATATACATTATCCTTGAGATGGTTTATCATAGCTTTTATCATATAGAATTTACAGGGGAAACCGTAATCCATTATACTGGTTAAATATTTTGCAGCAACCAGATGGACTTGCCTTTTTGGTTGATAAATCAGACAAAAAGACTGCTTCGAAGAAGAGGTCAAATGAAATGGCGAAGAGCTTGGTAGTTCACTATCACTTGTCTTAGTAATTAGTTTTGTAGTTTGGTAATGAATTCATTTTTTACTTTCTTCAGGTCTTATTCGTACTCATAAGACAATGTACCTATGGAAGTAGTCGTGTTTGTCATGCTCTTCTATATAGTTTCTTGCTTGAAATTTTGACTTACCCTATTTTCATATGTAATTTTCTTTCATTGTATTTGTTTATTTTTACTTATTATGCCGTTATAAAATGCAATTGTATAACTCCAATTAGTGTCTGTTTACTTCTAGCACATACAAATTCGGATATGAATATTTCTTGAACATTGAATTGTATAAATTAGTGTCTGTTTACTTCTAGCACATACAAATTCGGATATGAATATTTCTTGAACATTGAATTGTATAACAACCTTTGACTTGGATCAAATCCCATACAAATTCGGATATGAATATTTCTTGAACATTGAATTGTATAACAACCTTTGACTTGGATCAAATCCGGATGCTAGCAATATATTACTATATCTGACTATTTGGTACTTGAGTGAGTTTCAATCTTTCTTTTGATCTCCTACTCCTTAATAAAATAAAAAAAGTATATAAAATTACATAGCTACTGTTTATAATGTGGCTTTGATCTATGTGCACCAACAAAAGTTTTATTAACTGGATATTATTATATTTTTAGAGTATTTTGCAAAACTAGTGAGTTCAGTCTCCACCTTTGATGACTTCTTAATTAAATAAGAAAAGTATATAAAATTGGTCAGCTATTGATTACTTAGATCTTTAGGCACTGAGAAAAGTTCTATATGTTCGGATATGTATTTGTACATCTTCTTTTTGGGGATAGTTTGGCACTCCTTATTTGTGGTCATATTCTAAGAATGAAGGTCCCGGATGTCCATACTTTCAAGTGGATGGGAGCGGAATTCAAATCAGATTTTTGTGTTTGTTTACATCTGAAGATTCTGAACTAAGAAGGGATAAAGATAATCAAACCTTTCATTTGTTCCTAATTTCCTTTTATCAAGTAACCTCGTTTATGCAATATTGGGTATTGCAAGTGCTACCGATTGTTGTGAAGAAGTGAAACTTGTCTTTTAGAAACATGGGGATAATGGTAAATTTATGAACTTTCTGCCATGGAAGATAGTTCTTTTTGCTCAAATGGCATTATGCTTCTTGGTCTCTAAGAAACAGCCTTTTTGTTCATAATTAATGGCACTGTGTGGTTCATTTTTATGTGAAAGCTTCAAAAAGAATTATTTCTCCAACTATTGCTTTTTCTGTTAGTTTTCTCTTATGTCAATCCAACTTTATTTGCAGGATGACTTTGCATATATTTCAGCGTCCACTCAACAGTCGAAACAACCAAAATTGGAGGATCCTATTATGGCCCGACTTTGCATATATTTCAGCGTCCACTCAACAGTCGAAACAACCAAAATTGGAGGATCCTATTATGGCCCAGCCTATTAGTAGCAAATATGTGAGCAGTGCAGTCGAAACAACCAAAATTGGAGGATCCTATTATGGCCCAGCCTATTAGTAGCAAATATGTGAGCAGTGAATCTTTCCCTCTTACACTCTCTCATATGACTGTTCATTTGGGTGGAGGTTCTTTTTAGATATTATCATAACTCATACATGATATTATGCATTCGATCCGCTGGCTAATCCTGTTGCTGAATGCTTGGACTCGACCTTCTTCCTTGTGAAGTTTATGTCATCAACATGGGTGTTTACATATTGTATTAGGGGTGCTATTGCTTTTGTCCTTGATAATAGTTATAAAAGCGACCACCCAATCAAAAGTTGTTTTGTTGTTACTGCCTTTTTTTCACTTCTTATGCTTGTTTTCCAACATGGTAAAGTTTTAGTGGATTTCTGTAAGTAGCTATATTAAAATTTCTCATATAGATTCAACTTTTGGTTGCTTAACTGTATTAAACATATAGATTCAACTTTTGGTTGCTTAACTGTATTAAACAAGCCCTGACTTTACTAATGCTGTTAGTGTCCAATGCTTAGAGTAAGACTAATCTAATGATCGCCTTTCTGAGTCAATTGAATGTCCAGTGCTTTCCAGGACAGATGCTCCTAATACTTTTACTTGCGTTGAGTGTGGTTTATGTCTTCATCAGTACTCTTACAAGTTCTTTTTGCGAACCTTGTGTTTGCTTATGGGCCTAAAGATGCAAACTCCTGCCATACTGAGTCAATTAAACGTCCAGTGCTTTCCAGGACAGATGCTTCTAATACTTTTACTTGCATTGGGTGTGGTTTATGTCTCCACCTCATGGTTGAAGGCCTACATAAAGCAAATTTCAGCCAGGATGGAGCTTTCTCTAATCCATTCTTATTACCTCATTGAATGTTCTAAGCTGCCTTCTTCAGTCCTTAAGCGGGTCTTAATTTATCAGATGATGGGTTGGCGGGTTACCATCTCTTTACTCTAGAAATTTCAAGGTATTAACAAGCAGATTTGACAATTCCTTCAGAGATGGTAACACAGCTAGTATCTTGTGGTCCCTGTGATACCAATGTTTTAGAAATCGGTAGGTGCTTCTAAGCACAGGATCATGTGCCTAGCGCCCAGTCTGGCGCTAAGCGGCACATTGGTGTTTTTAGCAACAAGAGAGGATTTTTTTCAAATGTTCAAAATCCTAACTTCGTTGTTTACCTAAGATGGGGTTGGATATAGAGTTTTGATCTGTTCCATGTTCACTTGGCCCATTCTCTTCAGCCGTTACCACAACTAAGCAAGCAATATACCCCTTTTTGATGTGGTGCAGTAAGCATAAGCGGCCATGCTTCGCTTAGGCGCTCCCAGGACCTAGGCGGGCGGTTAAGTATTGCTTAGGCCTTGGTGGGCACCTAGATTGTTATTTAAAGCAATGTTTGATACTGTGCTGATATGGCAAATAAAATGAATAGCCTTGCATTAAACGAGTACTTATAGATCAGTCTGGTATACTTAGTCTGGTATACTTTGAGATATGAAAATATATGTCAGGTTAGGATTTTTTTTTAAAAAGACCGTTTTTGCTAAATAATTAGCAAAATCGACATCTTTTTGGCCAACAGGCCAAAAAGATGTCGATTTTAAAAAACGCCCAGCTCACAACATACGGGACTACTAGTCCCGTATGTTTTTGGTGAACTAATCTCACAGAAAACATACGGGACTACAAGTCTCGTATGTTTTGAGCACTCATTTGTTCTGCCCAGCAAACCCACGGGACTAGTAGTCCCGTGGGTTTGCTGGGCAGAACAAACTAGTCTCTGTTTAAATTACTGGACTAGTAGTCCCGTACATTAAACAGAGACTCATTTGTTCTTCACAGCAAACCCACGGGGCTAGTAGTCCCGTGGGTTTGCTGAGCAGAGGCAAAACACGCACAACAACATGCATAGGCCTCTTAACTTCGTATACAGTATTATTTGACCAAAATTTTGACAAAAAATACTATCCACATTGTATACATTGATTTTCACAACACAAATCTAAAAAAATACACAAATCCACATTGATTTTCACAAAATTTTCACAACACAAATCTAAAAAATACACATCACAACTCAAATCTGATGAAATAAACACCGGATAATAACAAGTTTAATCAATTTAGAACATCACAACACAATATACATGTCATATGCATACCAATATGACAAAATTCTAAACAATTCCAAATGTATCAAGTCTAACCATAAGATAATATGTAGTCTAAGCTAAACAAATCCAAATGTATCAATAATTCCATACGACAATATATAATATTAGTGGAAAAGCTAACAACCTAAAAGTCTGTCCCTCCCCCGTCGTCTCCCTCTTTGCACCCACTCAGATTGTCAGCGGCCTCCTTCGACTTGAGCTTGTATATGCTCGCTCTCTGGTTGTGTGTGGGGCTGTGACGGTCCCGCTTGCTGTGACAGACTGACTTCATCGTCGTGCAAGCAAGATCTACCACATCTTCGTCGGCGTGCATATAAAGTATCCTAATGCGCCACCTGCTCGCGCCCTTCATGTCAATCCTCATGAGTTTGTCGAAAAGCTCTACGAACCCTCGCCACTATCCGATGCAAGAATGATACGTGTACTAAATCTCCTGTGGCGGTAGCAATGCCCTCATTACGACCCCTCGCCACTATCCGATGCAAGAATGATACGTGTACTAAATCTCCTGTGGCGGTAGCAATGCCCTCATTTGTAATTCCCTCTACCTCGTCCATAGCGTCTATCTACAATTGTTTTGTAAAATATCGATACATATAAGAAACCAAAAGCTAACAAGAGATTGAAAACTCTGATAATTTTCGCAATTACTTACCTATTGTGTCTCATCTACTTCTCTTGGTACGTATCGGGATTGTTAGGAGCGAATCTCGATTTCGTCGACTGGATACGTGGTTTGAGTGATTATCCAACGTCTGGTAATCCCCCAATACCATCTAATGTAATCGACTTCTTCCATCGGAGGATAAAACTGATCAAAAATAAGTTGATGCCTCTCATTCTATCTTGTAATGTATGACTGATGTGTATTCCGCCAGTCAATTTGATGGTCACCTTTAAAAGAATTTCTCTATTTTTTTGACATATTGTGGGGCGTGTTGCACGAATCCAAACTGTCTAAACACGCGATCCGACACGTGCATCTCCACAATTTCGAAACAAATGCGAGGAACTTTGGCCCTCCATATGTCGTGCCCCTCCATACAAATCGGCGGTACACGAGATAGGTAAGGTGTGTATGGCTGCCACTTGAACTGCAAAATACTCCATATATTAATAACTTTTTGAAATATATCGGTAGCTTTAAAAGACTTTAATTCAAATTCAATACCTGAAAAAATTTCATCCGGTCGAGCTCCTCTCTGTAAAAATCTAACTATCATGTCGGGGTTTCATCGTAGGCTTTAGTGACATTCCATCTGCAGGTATGATATAAGGTAGGTTTTTGTTCAAAATTTTAAATTTTAAATTAAATTCAATGATTTTTACCTGCAGCCTAGTGGAATCTGTCCATCTAACTCTCGGATCTCGCATAATTACGGTCTCAAAACCAACCTTTCCCATGCCCAAACTTGTAATAATGTTAAACATCCATTGAGCTCTTTATTTTGCATTAAAGCAACCTTCGACATTTCTCGATATAGGTAAGCTAAAACAGCACTACCCCATGATAATGTGCCGCACATGTCAAAGTCCTCGAGAAGTGATAACTACCTATCACATATTCAAATGCGTTAGTCATATTTTATAAAAACAGTGAGCAAAAATCTCTCATCAAATTCAATTGCATTGTAACAATAATAAGTTGTCTTACCTCAAATGCACTTTATGTTTACTTGAGTTGGGAAAAAGAAGGGTTCCGATCATGTACAAAATATATGCTCTAGTATGCTGTTGGATCATGATTTCGGATGCATCTTCTGGCAAAGGGTTTGCAAAATTCTCCTTCAGCCACTTCAATCTAATATATCCTCCAGGCAAGGACTCTGGAGATAGTCCTAACAAATCATCACATACACTTAGCTAAATATGCCTATTAGTCCCCGTAACACAAGGGCCATCAATGCGGAGACCAAGGATCACTGCTACGTCTTGAAGAGTAATAGTTGCCTCGCCGACACGTAGATGGAAAGTGTTAGTATCCGGCCTCCATCGATCCATCAACGCATTAAGCAGGACCCAATCAAGCTTCATCCATCGTAATTTTGAGCAAGTGAGAAAACCAGCTTGATGTACTATAGCAATAATGTGAGGATCATCAAGTGGCCAACGAGTATGTCCAAGGCTATGATCAATCATAACTAGTTTTTGTCCTCTGCAATAAAAATGAAAACAAATATTAGAATATAACAATGAATAATTAATGTCTGTAAACTTATGAGTAAAAAATAGATAATCATTACCGATGTAAACGATATGCTCTTTGAACGGTGGCGTAACTGATCATAGAGGACTTCATCAGTAACCGGCCCAGGAAGCATTGTGTATATACCTGCACATATAATTTTTAACTTATTAGTTTCTACCAAATCAATAAGACTATAATAATAAAAAATAAAGATAGAAATAGAAAATATTTTACCAATTAATTTCTATCTACTTGCTCTTGATGGACAACAAGATTTATTATGCCCTAATTGACTACATTGTCCACATCTTACTCGTGACGCTACTCCTTCCCGGCCTTGATCCATAGTACCTCTAATGTCACAGAGCCAGATCGTCCTGCTTGTTTTTTGTATTTGGTGGTAATATATATGGTATATACAACTTCGGCCAATAACAAGTATCGTCGGGAGGATGAAAACTCTCATTATAAGCCTTTCGATAATGATTTGTTGAATACCAAGCTGAGCAATACCAATCATAAGGCAATATTGCGCCACCATCGTGACTGGAACTAGCCGCTAAAATATGTTCACATGGCAGTTTTTGTAATTATGGCATACTACAAGTACAACTATAATCCTGGTCATAGAGATAGAGATGGACGGTGTAAGTACCATCACAATCTTTAACTTCCCATTCATTGTCGTTGAA